CTCTACAAAACAAATTTTCCAGAAGCTGTATTTTTCTAGTTCAATAAATACATAAAAGTAGCACATATGCTTGAAATATTGACGAGAAGATCATCTTAAAAGACGTCAATATTGGAAAGGAAATGCCTAGAAAAAAAAGAATATAAGACATAGGCTGCTTTATCTCTTGAAGTATGGAAAGAGAGACTTAAATAAAGTGTCCAAAAATAAAGAATCACTTCCATATTCTGTTAAATAGTTAACTACTTGTTAATAGCGTTTCTCTCATCTTTATTCTGCTTCATAACAGAGATAGAGGTGGGAGGGAAAAAAAGTCTCAAATATTATGTCAAATCTTAAGCAAATGGCTGGGGCGTTGATGGCGAGAGGTGTAGATGCGTAGCAAAAGAAAGGTGGACAAATTAGGAAAGGTGGAAAGGTGGAGGGTGGGAATATCAGGGGGAAGCGCCAAAACATTACACACTATATAGCACTTGGAAGTGGTGAGGAATTAAGATGAGACGTGGGGAAGGAATGGTATCCGACCACTCGGACGGTCGGGGATTGAACAGCGACCTGCATGAAGCGAGACCATTTTTTTTTGGCATTTTTCATTTTTTTTCTCTTTTCAGACAATTAAAAAATGAATTTCGGAGAATTGTTATTTTTATTACCACTGACAGTGAAGAAAAACATAAGAAATATTGAGAAGATTCGTGTTAGAATTATTAATCTTACCTTTTCGGTCATATTCAACAACATATGTTTACAAGAGAGACTGCTACCAAAAAATATATATATATATATATATATATATATATATATATATATATATATATATATATATATATATATATATATATATATATATATATATATATATATATATATATATATATATATATATATATATATATATATATATATATATATATATATATATATATATATATTTATATAAACAATTGTTTTTACCTGTCACAGATGTTGCATCTATATAGACGGTATATAAAAGCTTGCGCGTATTCAAATGGAACGTTTTGTCAAAATTTTTAGGCAATCGGTGAAAAACTTTCAGAAATTACAGCGTGTGTTCCTCATACTCCAACAGATAACGTTGTTTTTAAAAAAAAAGCATGTGTTTTCCTATCACAGGTGAGGCATGTATATAGCATGTATATGAAAACACGCGCCTATTCGAATGCAACGTTGCGTCAAAGTTTATAAGCTATCGGTAAAGAGGTTTCGAAGATTTCACTCACATGAAAACACAGTTTAAAAAAAATGTTCTTTTTTTCCTGTCACAGAAGTGACATTTTTATAGTATGTATATAGAAACCCGCTCGGATGCAAATGGAACGTTGTGTGAAAATTTCAAAGCAAACGGTGAAGAACTTTCGGAGATTTTCGATTTTGAACAAACGAACATTCCAATTTTATTTATATAGACTAGCTGTACCCGACCACAAGTTGCTGTGGCTCAGCAACGGATGTGCGTTAAGCCACAGCAACCTTCTGTTCCCCAGTCCTCCCAACCATTCAACCCCTCTGCCATCCCCCCTCGTCCTCCCACCCATTCCTCACTCCCCCATCCCTCATCCTCCCAATCATTCCCCACTCCCCCGTCCCCTCGTCCTCCCCACCATTTCCCTATCACCCGTCTCATTGTCCTCCCGCTCCACCCTCATTCCACCGTCCCCTCATCCTCCCCACCATTTCCCTATCACCCGTCCCATTGTCCTCCCGCTCCACCCCCACTCCGCCGTCCCCTAGTCCTCTCCACCATTCCCAACTCCACCGTCCCATCGTTCTCCCCACCATCTCTCACTCCCACGTACCCTCATCCTTCTTATCATTCCCCACTTCCCTGTCCCCTCTTCCTTCCCACCATCCCACACTCCCCTGTCTCCTTGTCCTCCACACCATTCTCCATTCCCCTATTTCTTTGTCCATATCATTCCTGATTCTCCCGTTCCCTCGTCCTCCCCTACATGCACCACTTCCTCGTCTGATTCATTCCCAAGTGATCTGATATTTCCTTCATAAAATTGGGAACATCAAATGAACTGATGTTCCCATCACTGAAAAAAAGGAACAGCTAAAAAGCGAAATGAAAAAGAGTGAAAAAAATAAAAAAATAAACAATACTCATGAAATGAACAGTATGGTAATCAACACAGCTCAATTCCAAGGCATTGTCATACAAAATAATTAAATCAAAATGAAAATAAATTGAAATCTATGAACATAAAATTTATCAATGCAATCGGAAACTTGGAAATGGGGGTCATAACATATTTAGTATAGCGTGTGTTGCTCTTACGTGCAACAGATGGCGCTGTTTTAAAAAAAAAGCATGGTTTTACCTGTCACAGGTGTTGCATCTATATAGTAGATATATTAAAACACGCACGTTTGGAACGTTATGTCAAAATTTGATAGTAATCGGTAAAGAACTTTCGGATATTACAAAGTGTGTTGCTCTTACGTCCAACAGATTATGTTCTTTTTCAAAAAAACATGTTTTTCCTGTCACAGGTGAGGCATGTATATAGTGGGTAAATAGAAACACGCGCCTGTCCGAATGCAACGTTGTGTCAAAATTTCAAAACAATCGGTAAACAGGTTTCGAAGATTTCCCTCACATGAAAAACACATGAAAAACACAGTTTTTCCAAAAAAGCATGATTTTTCCCGTCACAGACGTGACATCTATATAGTTTGTATATAAAAACCCGTTCGGATGCGAATGAACGTTGTGTGAAAATTTCAATGCAATCGGTGAAGAACTTTCGGAGATTAGCGATTCTGAACAAACGAACATTTCCATTTATACTTGTATGGACTATTAGGGATTATTATAGGGCTATTTTCATTTAATTTTAAAAGGGGATCTATAACTTGATAACACTACAGAAAATTATACAGTCAGTTTCTAATCTCTTCTAAAGAATAGGTATTATTAGTAGTCGTGATAGCAGTTCTCATAGTAGTCATAGAAGTAGTTTTGGTAGCAGTTTTCATAATAGTCATGGAAGTAGTATAGATAGAAGTACAGCAGGAGCATCAATATGATTTTTTTTAACACAGGTAGTTTCCGAAGAATATAAATTGTGTCCAATTTCAGCAGACTTAAAACTTTTCTATCGTATTGCTCATACCTTAAAGCTTAAAGTGATTCCTTCCTATAGGCCGTCTTATGGTTATTTTTCCTGTTTGTTCTGGGGTACGACTCACATATCGTTTTACAGCTCTGTCTCCGATTCCAGATATGGTTGAGTGCCCAATCAATTCTCTTTGTTATGTGACTAGTACACGGTATAAATGTATTTAGATCATAAGTTAAAGAATATGATAGTATTTCAAGTATTTAGAGAGAGAGAGAGAGAGAGAGAGAGAGAGAGAGAGAGAGAGAGAGAGAGAGAGAGAGAGAGAGAGAGAGAGAGAGAGAGAGAGAGAGAGAGAGAGAGAGAGAGAGAGAGAGAGAGAGAGAGAGAGAGAGAGAGAGAGAGAGAGAGAGAGAGAGAGAGAGAGAGAGAGAGAGAGAGAGAGAGAGACAGACAGACAGACAGACAGACTGACAGACAGACAGACAGACAGACAGACAGACAGTGGAGAGAGAATAGAAAGCTCTCTAATTTTATATTGAAATCACTAGAAAAAAATTTAATACATGCTGCAAGATTTAATAGACACATAGCGTAAGGACGGTATGGATGCACAACACGGGAAACAGAGTGTAATTTGGATGACTCACTTTCTTTCTCCCCATGATTCATTAAACATTGTGAAATAAAGCTTAATTTCCCCATTATTACTCTTATAAGCCGTCCTGCAGACTTCACCTTCCTAGTTGATAGTCAAAGGCTTCTATTAAATTAAAGATTTCCCAGCAATCAAAATAATAAAGATACTAATAATAATAATAATGCTAATAATATCAATAATATTAACATAAATAATAATAATAATAATAATAATAATAATAATAATAATAATAATAATAATAATAATAATAATAATAATAATAATAATAATAATAATAATAATAATAATAATAAAAATAGCGTAAATAATAATAATAATAAAATATTATTATTATTAATAATTATGAGAAAGACCTACTTGAGGACGATTCGATCCTGTACACTGGGTACTCCCTCGCAAAAGCCTTACATCATATAACCACAATGTGCACATAAGATTTGAAACCTGGTATTCAACTGAATCCTCTAGGGGTCTTGTGGATTCCACTGAAGTCACGTCAAGGTTTCACTCATTGTCAGCATGAACTATTGCTGTGAAATAAGAGCTCTATCCCCAACACTTCTCTTTCAAGTGCAAAATGAAATATTAACGTGTTGTATTGATGAGAATGTCAGTAGCACAACGTCAGCAGATGATAGAAAAACGGTCAAGTCAGCAGACGGTCAAGTCAACTAACGGGCATCCCAGCAAACGGTCAAGCCAGTACACGGCCTAGTCAGCAAACAGTCAAATCAGCAAACGGTAAAGACAGTAAGTACAGCCCACCAGGAGCCATGAAGGGCACATAGAGGCTTGTCCTGATAGTAACAGCTTTACTAATGAGCTTAACGTAATAGAAAACAACATGTCTCAATATGTTTACAATTTGTTTATTTTTCATGTTTAAACTCCTATAAATATAATTGCTTGTTGCTACTAAATTTGCTCATCTTCTTTTTGTTTATATTAAGGAATAAAGGTTTTAGAGAATTGTCTAATATCTTCTTCAGATAATGAATGAAATAATTATAATTAGTATATAGATAAAATATTTTCAGTGTTGCTGATTTCTTTTATTAAATTATTTAATAGATCTCTGATGGATAAATTGCTCCACCTATTTTTCAGATAAATGGATGTCGCTTTTTTGGTAGTAAGTCTTATCTGTGCTATGTAAACAAGACAGCTGCAGTGGACGTTAAATAATATAAGCTGCAAGTAAGATTTCTAGTTACGTGTAAATTTTCCAGTTTTTTTTATATATTATTTTTTGCTTGGGAGAATCCAGGTGGCTGCATCACCTTGAGTCCCCTGCTGAGGAGGGCTGGGAGGCAGTATAAAGCTGCCTGCTGGAGGGTGCTCCTCACACAACTTCTGCCAGCAAGATGAAGTGCCTCCTGGTCCTCCTCTCCCTCGCTGTCCTTGCATGGTAAAAGCTCAATTACTCTATATTACGTATAGTATATTTATATTTCTCGCTGCTCTTATACAATTTCTTTAATATTTATTGACGTTCATGTGCCTGGACAGTTATGAGCTCCGTGCTGTTGGGACATTGACCAGTATTTACCTGGTCTAACACAGACAATGTTTAAAGCCAATAAAAGACTCTTTTGGTCTGTTGCATACTATCTTATACAGGTGCTGCCTCTTTTGTACCGAAAAACATCTATTTTTTCGTTTATTCATTTGTTCCTATATTATATGTATTCATCAACATGCGCTTTCAGGACAAGCATCAGCTCCTGGACGCCGCCATATAACGACTAATCACTTCTTGTAAATGTTACTATAGAATCTATGTTCAGAGGCAGCCTTAATTCCCTCCTTTTTAATCATTCAACTGTTTTTTCTTTATATAATAAAAGTGCCCACTTACATCTTTATGTAATATTTAGATTTCTGGTTCCCTCCTTGCCATCTTCTGCATGCACATTCTCAAGCAAAACAATTTTTTTTTCTTTGTCAATTCGATAACTTAAAAATATCTCTATGAAATAATCATGTAAACTATGTCGTTCCTGTGCTCCACCACAACTACTTCAGTCTTTTCTCATATTTCAGTCTTATAAGTTCTGATGATCGATCGTTTTACGGATCTTTGTACTTTCTCTAGAGCTTTGCTTTGGTTGTATTGGGTGGGTATTCCCCACTGGGGCTACTTTTTTATACTCCTTACTTTCACAATCCTTAATGATTCCTACTCCACGTTTATAATAACCACATAAATTTTGGTTTCTTACATGTCGCTGACATAATACTATTAATGCAGGCCTGCGGTGAGAAAATTTGATTTATGATTGACTATTAGTTCCTCTTTTCTTACAAACATACTCTTCTTCATCTTCTATAGTCCATTAGGTCTTTTTACGCTTGGTTCATGTTCCGTTAGTAATCTTCCTACTAGTTACTAACTGTTATCATGGGTTTGTACTGTGCTTTACTTACTTGCTCATTAGAAATTGGATTAATATATCTTTAAATATATTTATCTTTTCAATATTTACCTAGCAGCATTTTTTCCTCGGAAAGTTCCTTATTGGTTCATGCCCGTTTTTCTAGTTGGCTGTTCTTCAATGTTTTTCACTTTTTAAAGGTTTTCATTTTATTGAATTATAGAATCAAATACAGGCCTCCGCCACCTTCTCACTTATCTTGTTCCACCCGTCTAACACTCTGTTTAGAAAAGTGAATTATCTTATAATTTCTCCGGCGGCTTTGTTTCGTTAGTTTAAATCTATGACCTCTTGTTCATGAAATTCCTGGTCTCAAGAATTGTTCCCTATCTATTTCATCGATTCCTGTTACTATTTTGTACGTACTGATCATATCGCCTCTTTTTCTTCTACTTTCTAGTTTTTGCATATGAAAAGCCTCTAATCGCTCCTCGTAGCTCTTGTCCTTCAGATCTGGGAGTTACTTAGTGGCATGTCTGTGCACCTTTTCAAGTTTGTTGATGTGCTTCTTAAGATATTGGCAAGATAAATTCAGTCAACCAAACCATCTCTTTCCTGTAAAATCTCTGTGGGTCGATCATAGAAACAGAGTAATTTCGTTACACAGGATTTTCCAGATCGAACAAGATACTGACTGGCTGATATTATATCGTTTTTCTCCAGAATTTCTACCCATTTATTTTCAATTTTTTTTTTTCCAATATTTTGACTATTACTCATGTCAATGATACAGATATATAAATGTGGGATTTTCCTTGCTGCCACTTTTGATTGCAACTATGTTAGCCTTTTTGCAGATATCTGTACAACTCCTGTACACATGGATGCCTGAAAAATCATTTGAAGTGGAATGTTGAACTCAGGTGCACATTCTCTCAGAACCCACACACACAGTGCGTGTGTGTGTATATTCACCTAGTTGTATTCACCTAGTTGTGCTTGCGGGGGTTGAACTTTGCTCTTTCGCCCCGCCTCTCAACTGTCAATCAACCAACTGTTACTAACTACTACTTTTTTTCCAAACTCCCACGCACCTCAGAAAACAGCCAGTAACAGCTGTCTAACTCCCAGGTGCCTATTTACTGCAAGGAAATAGGGACATAAGGGTGAAAGAAATTGTGCCCATTTGATTCTGCCGGCCCCGGGAATCGAACCCCGGTCCACATAACTGCGTATGAAGCGTGCGGTTCACACAGCCACCGGCCCGTACTCACCTAATTGTACTCACCTAATTGTGCTTGCGGAGGTTGAGCTTTGGCTCTTTGGTCCCGCCTCTCAACTATCAATCAACTGGTGTACAGGTTCCTGAGACGTGTATGCGTCTGTATGTTAATTTAAAGTAATAGGTTGCTAATTAAATAAATTATAATTTATTACATTCTTAACAGTTTAAATAAAATACTTTTAATAACAATCGTTCAACAGGTCGCAAGGGGAAAATGAATGTGACTGTGAAGTCGTTTTGAAGTTTCCCAATAACACCATCAGCGTTGACGACCTGCCAGTCAACGGTGCCACCGACTGTGACGACCACAGTGGCTGCATGAAAACTTGTCGCGATGAGGTAAGTGTAAATGCAGTACTTTTCACAGACTATAAAAAATTATAGAACTGAGACATTTCTATTACAGTTGGCAAACAATATATCATTGTATTAAAATATCTAGACATGAATTACAAAATATTAATGAAGATTCAGAGGAAGGATATTATTATACATTGAGGCAAGTAAGCACTTGCATTTGTTCTACATGCCTCATAAAATGTACTAAGCCCTTTAATCTTGCATTAATACATTTGTGGTAATTGCATTCCCATTTTCTCTGTAGTGGGATTCAGTCTCAAACGGGGGAGACCTAAACTACATTCAAAGCAACGGTAAAACTGTGGGCCAGAACCTCTGTGATAGTTTGGCTTCACAGGGACAAACCAATTTGGAACCAACAAGGGTGAGTAGTTTTAAGGGAACATAATTAGTTTTATTGAAATAAATTTTACAGTTAGTAATAATCAACAGATCAAGGTATATTTAATTCTAATCAAGTCATTAAAGTATATTAGATATAATTTGAGTGTAGATTAATAGTAATAAGAGTGTGCTTAACTACTTCGGCATTCCTAGTTGCGTGGGTTCTAGCTCTCTATCAATTTGAATAATAGTTACCGAACTTAAAGCTCCGTCCTGCAAACTTTGGTAAGAACCTTCAAATTCATTCCTTAATTTCTAGGTCGCGGCAATGTAATGCTGGTAGCATATGCGGCAATGAGAGCCCGAGAGCCTTTCTGTTTATAATCTTAAAGACTATAACTGATACATGTTTCTATTTCTTCAGCTGCATCTGGACTTCAGTCTGTGCAACGGAGAATGGCAAGAAGAGGGTACAGCTTCTCACGACAACTTGTGCTGTGTTGATGGTGTTTATCCTGGTTCATGTTAACGTAACCAGCCCCTTGACACGCCTAGCATCTTAACACCAGAAGCTGAATTAACACCAACATGCCCTCACTCTTTCTTTCTCCCTCTCTCTTTATCTCTGAAAAATTATGCTAAGCAGAGTAAAACTGAATAAGTCTACGGGGACTCGAACCGACCCTCGAATGACCTATAACACTTCCCTACATGCCTCATGATTTAAAGCTTGATGAGGATAGCCCAAAGCATGTGTTTTCAAAGCATAGATAACAGACAGACGAACATTCTCTCACTCACTAATACTGGTGGATGCTAAAACTCATACGTACTGGTTATCAGTTAACAATAATAAAAGTGACCATACAAATATATATATGTCTTACTGCACCTCCGGAACATCTATACTGATAAGTTATCAGTAAAAAAATACCTTGAAATAGTTTGGTTAATGTTGTTATCTGGCTAGTCGATTTGAGAACTGGATGTTATTGCGTATACACTTCTTTTGAGGCAAAATGTTTGCTATTGCTGTGCTCTTATCACTTTCCGCTCTTAAATCAGCTAAAATAACTTACTTGGTGAATTTTGCCTCTCTTATAACACTCGTTCATCGAGTCGCATATTCATCGAGTCGCATATGTATTTTCACCTCATATAACACACTATACACTATATGACACACACTGTTTTCTAATGATACATTTGAGTAGCAAACACAGCAGAATACTCGAACTAAATGGACTCTACAAAACCCATTTTCCAGAAGCCGTAATTTTCTTGTTCAATAAATACATAAAAACACCACATATGCTTGAAATATTGACGAAAAGAGCATCTTAAAAGACGTCAATATTGGAAAGGAAATACCTAGAAAAAAAAGAATATATGACATAGGCTACTTTATCTGTGGAAGTATGGAAAGAGAGACTTAAATAAAGTGTCCAAAAATAAAGAATAACTTCCATATTCTGTTAAATAGGTAACTACTTTTCAATAGCGTTTCTCTCATCTTTATTCTGCTTCATAACAGAGAGAGAGGAGAGAGGGTAAAAAGGTCTCAAATATTATGTCAAATCTTAAGCAAATGGCTGGGGCGTTGTGGCGAGAGGTGTAAATGCTTAGCAAAAGAAAGATGGACAAATTACACAGAGATAACGTAACAGTAAGATTGTGTAAGCTTATCTTAGACGACACCTTCTCCTACGAATGATAAATAGTTAATAATCATGTGGGTTTAAGTACCCACAAGTACCTGATATACTTTAAGTACACAGGTACTTGATGTCAGACATCTGCAGGAGCTAAAAGAGGCATTTGAGCGGAATTCTGTGTTGCGTTTCAATTACGAGATGGAGAAGGACGGGAAGCTGCCCTTTCTAGATGTAACTGTTATTGAAAGGAGCGGAGGTTTCAACACTGCAGTCTACACTAAGGAAACAAACATAGGAATGTGCCTCAATGCCAACAGTGACTGCCCAGACATGTACAAGAGGAGTGTTGTTAATGCTTTTGTCGACCGTGCTCTCAGCCACAGCTCAGGATGGAAGCAAGTAGATGAAGAACTCTGTAGGGTAAGGCAGGTCCTAGTCAACAACGGCTTCTCCAATGGTTTCGTCGAAGACATCATAAGAAGGAAAGTGAAACGCCATGCAACCTCTGAAGAGACAACTAACACAACACCTATACCCCCTATTAGACTATTTTACCGGAACTTCTTTTCCACAGCTCATAAAACGGAGGAAAGGGTCCTGAAAGATATTGTTAATAGAAACGTTATCCCTACAGACAAAAATCAGAGGATACAACTGACGATTTACTATAAAACCAGAAAAACGGCCAGCCTACTCATGAGAAACTCTCCAGACACAAAGCAGAACGCTTTAAAAGAGACCAACTTCGTCTATGCCTTCAAATGCCCTCTTGGGGACTGTAAGCTCCAAAAACCCAGTATATAGGCAAGACAACAACATCTCTTTCTAGGCGTTTAACGATGCATAAAAAACAGGGCTCCATTAAGGAACATATAATCTCTTCCCACAACCAAACCATCGCCAGAGAAATCCTAGTAAACAACACAGAAATCATCGATAGATACAGCGATAGCAGGCGGCTTGACGTTTGCGAGGCACTACACATTAAAAAGTCAACACCAGCAATCAACAGCCAATTAATGCACAACTATATTCTACCCACCTCAAGACTCCACTCCATTATGGAAGCATCAAGAAATATGGACCAATATGCTTTCTACAATCACTTCCATTCAATACCCATTGTTTCGTGTTCTGTCCTGTGTTGATGAAATTAATACCCTATTAATGCCACCTCACCCCATCCACCTCACTCAAATGTAGATATAAACAAATCGGAGATGTGTAAGTTCTATTCAGTTGTGTATGTAAAGTCTTTGAAAATGTAATAAGTTTTACGAAACGCGCTCAAGTGTCGCGTCAGACTAGAAATAAAAATGAATTTTGGAGAATTGATTTTTGAATTACCACCAACAGTGAAAAGAAATGTACGAAAGATAGAGAAAATTCGTGTTAGAATTATTAATCTTACTTTTTCGGTCATATTTAATAATATATGTCTACAGGAAAGACTGCTACCAAAATATACTATATATATATATATATATATATATATATATATATATATATATATATATATATATATATATATATATATATATATATATATATATATATATATATATATATATATATATATATATATATATATATGTATATATATATATATATATATATATATATATATATATATATATATATATATATATATATATATATATATATATATATATATATATATATATATATATATATATATATATATATATATATATATATATATATATATATATATATATATATATATATATATATATGTCGTACATAGTAAGCCGAACGCACTTCTCGCTTCTGGGAGTATGGGTTCGAGTCACTTCTGGGGTGTGATATATATATATATATATATGTCTACTATGCAAGAGGCCCCGATTTGGCTAATAGGTCGAGTGTTTTTTCTTTTTTTTCAATCAATTGTTTCCAATAGGTTTATTTTAAATAATATTCATATATTTTATTAAGAACATAAATTATTTAATTGGTTATGTTAGTATAGGTTAGGTTAAGAACCTAACTAACCCTACCTAACCTATTTAAACCTAACCTGGATGAAAGCATATGGATGTAAGAAACAACTCGTATTATGTTAACTTTATTAATGAGTAACCATTTCACTTCATGATGCAACACGGGGAGGTGCATGTTGATTTCAAGGAAAACAATTTGGTGCAGGGTTAAACATTCGTTGTGTTTTAATCACTGAAAACTCTAAGAGTGCGACTGACGAAGCAGACGACGTTATCAGCAAGCAGATGTTTAGTTCATCACGTGAGTTATTAGATAGACTTGACCACGGGAGGAGGAGTTGGTGGTGTTTTTAACAGGGTTGGTATTCACCACCTGCACAACACACTTCCAGTGTACTCTGCTCACTGTCGTACTCCCATGGGCCTTGACAAAGCTTGTAGTACAGGTACACCTGTTGAACAGAATTCAAGAAAGATTATCGAACAATAAATGAGGCACTTCTCTCCCTATGATAATAATCACCACCCGCATATCCTCCAATACTTTTATATTTCATAACAAATGTAAAATCTATATTTCATAATAAATATTAAATTTTCATTGTCTCTATTATTAAGTACGGTAAACTCCCTATTTTATTCGTTGTCTTCACTTTTACTCTTCAACATATTTAATCAACAAAGACTCACTTCACCAGGCCCGAAATCCTCATGTCCCTGACGGGCCAGGGCGTTGCATATGTGTTGTCCGACCGTCTCTCCGTTTTCAAGCACAGTGTCCAAGTCACCGTTGTTAGTTATTGAAGCCCACTGTAAAATTAAAATAAAAACTGTAATTGCAATTTTCATATAAATTTAGATGATAGTCCAAGTGTTCTTTCATCTCACCTCTAAATCTCCCTCTTTTTTTCTCCCCTAATCTCCCACCCCAAATTCCCCCTCGCCCCCCTTCTTTTCCCACTCTCAACCTCTCCTTCCAATCTCCTCCTCTCTCGTGCTCTTTATCTTTCTCATTTATCGAACTCTCGTCCACACTCTCTCCTTCCTTTTCCCTAACTTCTCCCCTCCCCCACCTCTCACTCCTCCACTCTGTGTGAATGTGAGTATTACCTATTAGTGTCTGCAGAAGTGAGAAGTTAACTCTTGGACTCAGCCTTTCTAACCGTCGGTTGTCTCATGTACTGACTCACGACTTAATTTGTCTACTACATCTAATTTATTTTGTTATTACATCTGTTTTATATCTACTACTATACTTTGACACACACACACGAGAGTGAGATAAATCAGCGGGGTTGATATCACGCCAGACCTGTCCCCTGTTGCTCACATCAAGAGGATATCATCGGCGGTAAAAGCCACGTTGCTCAACATAAGGACGGCTTTTACAAACTTGTGGAGGGAATCATTCAGAGCCTTGTATACTCATTCAGAAGTATGATAGGTATAGGTACGAGGAGAAACTACGAAACTAAATCTCACGTCGCTGTAAAGTAGAAGTGGTTAGAGGAGACATGATCATTACATACAAGATTCTTAGAGGAATTGATAGAGTAGATGAAGACAATTTATTTAACACAAGGGGAACACACACAAGGGTACACAGGTGGAAACTGAGTAAGTACCCAGATTATCCATAGAGATTTTAGAAAAAAAATTATGTCAGAGAAGTTAACAAATTGAGCACATTAGGCAGTGATGGGGAGGAGGCCGACTCCATACACAGTTTCAAATGTAGATATGATAGAGCCTAATAGGCTCAGTAATCTATACACCGGACTGACATTTGAGAGGCAGGCCCAAACCAATGCTCAACCCCAGCAAGCTCAATTACGTAAGTACAATGCATTCCGTGGCAACTGTCTAACTCACTGGTACCTATTTACTGCAAGGTGAACAGGCACATCAGGTCAATGTAACCTCTGTCCATTTGTTTCAGCCTTGGCCGTAAGTCAAACCAGGGCATCTAGGGCTATGATCCCCGAACGCTGTCCTGTCAGCCACGTAGACCTTGTGTGTGTATGTGTGTAATCACCTAGTTGTGCTTGCAGGGGTTGAGCTCTGGCTCTTAGGTTCCGCCTTTGAACCGTCAATCAACTGGTGTACTGATTCCTGAGCCTACATGGGCTCTGTCATATTTATATTTGAAACTGTGTATGAAGTCAGCCTCCACCACATCACTGCCTAATGCATTCCATCTTTAAACTACTCTGTGTGTGCTTGTGTGTGTGTGTGTGTGTGTGTGTGTTTGTGTGTATTCACCTTGTTGTATTCACCTAGTTGTGTTTGCGGGGGTTGAGCTCAGCTCTTTCGGCCCGCCTCTCAACTGTTTACTTACTACTTTGTTTTTTTTTCTCCACACCACACACACACACCCTAGGAAGCAGCCCGTGACAGCTGACTAACTCCCAGGTACCTATTTACTGCTAGGTAACAGGGGCATTCAGGGTGAAAGAAACTTTGCCCATTTGTTTCTGCCTGGTGCGGGAATCGAACCCGCGCCACAGAATTACGAGTCCTGCGCGCTATCCACCAGGCTAGCAGGCCACCAAGTTTATTCTCATATTATTAAATACAGAGAAATGTTTGCATACATAGAAAAATATACATACTCCGTTTCTATGTAGTAAGGAGGTATTTGATTTTGACAAAGGTTGTTTTTATGTCTGATGTTTTATGAGTGTGATTTTATGTAACTTAGCTAATAAACGATGATGTTTAATCTATTGAGGTATTTTGACGTTGGCGAATGTTGGCATAAGATGTTTAATGATGTATTGTTATTGTGTGTATGTGTGTGTGTGTGTGTGTGTGTGTGTGTGTGTGTGTGTGTGTGTGTGTGTGTGTGTGTGTGTGTGTGTGTGTGTGTGTGTGTGTGTGTGTGTGTGTGTGTGTGTGTGTGTGTGTGTGTGTGTGTGTGTGTGTGTGTGTGTGTGTGTGTGTGTGTGTTAGAGTGTGTGACAGAATCATAATTAGTTCCCTACCACTCAAGGACCAATTCATTATTACCTCATCATCACAAGTTGAGCTGCAATCGGCTGTATCTTCACAGCCCTCCACGTCTATGGGCGGGAAGGGAAACACCTCGATCTCTCCGATATCTTCATTGACAAAGGCACCACACTGGCACTGTGGCGGCCCCTGAGCCCTGCAATAGTTACCAAGAAGCTTCATAATCCATGATAACATTTCCTAACGAGCTTGAGTTGCCTGGGGACCCGATTGTCTTCATATAACTATAAACTTAATAATAATTCATACGTTAACTAAAATAATCAATTTAATAGAAGTATGATTTTCGTTAAACTGGAATAAGAAGTAATTTACCTATTTGAGCTAATGTAAATATTCCTGTAATTTCTTACCTCTCAATAACGTAGACAGAATCTAGATTAAATCGATCAATTAGTAAGGCGTTAATGGATGATTATCCTCATTTTATTAAATACAGACAAATGTTTACGTGCATGGGAAAAGTATACATACTCGGCTGCTGTGTTATGTAAGGAGGTATTTGATTTTGACAAAGGTTGTTTTTATGTGTCTGATGTTTTATGAGTGTTATTTTATGTAACTTAGCTAATAAACGATGATGTTTAAATTGTTGAGGTATTTTGACGGTGGCGAATGTTGGCATAAAATGTTTAGAGATAGATTATGTTAAGTGCAGTGATATGATGGTGTAAACGTTGTAATGATGATGAATAGAAAAATATAAATATAGATAACGAGTTTGAAATTAAAGACATATAAACATAATTTATTTGTTGATGCATTAAGAATACATAAATACTCTTAATGTTATTCATTATTATGTGTATGTAGGTTTAGAGGCACATTAACAAACATATACCAAAATGAACAAATACCCCAATAAATCCTTTTTTCCTATCTTTCTGACATTAAAACATTATAGCATTGTTTCCTGAATTTATAATTGAAAACAATAAAATCAAAATTATTTTACTTGTTTAAAAAAGACAGATTATTACTAATTATATTTCATCATTTCTGAGTTATTGGTGAGCAATTTTGTATTACATCATATCTTTCAGATCTTTTTCACATGCTGCAAAATAACAGTCTACATAGAACATCAAATATAATATATATATATATATATATATATATATAATATATATATATATATATATATATATATATATATATATATATATATATATATATATATATATATATAATAACATTTAGCAGCAGAGCGTTACCATGTGAGGGCGGCGAGGGAGAGGAGGATCAGGAGGCACTTCATCTTGCTGGCAGAAGCTGTGTGAGGAGCAGCGTCCAGCAGGCAGCTTTATACTGCTTTCAGACCCTCCCCAGCAGGAGTGCAAGGTCCCCAGATCGAGCAGCCACCTGCCCGCTCCCAGCAACACAGACGTTCTTTTATCATATGAAAGATGGCTCTTTATAGGTTTCCAAACTATAAATATTACAAATTACAAATAAAATATTATATTTGGTATATGCCATGCAATTGCGTCCTGATACTGGTATAATTTCCTGGTAACAGGATTATATTGAGTAATTTTATTCATGAATATACTGTGGGATTAATAACAATTATTTTCAATTTACCAGTCCAGCAACGAGGAGGCCTGGTGGACGACCGGGCCGCGGGGACGCTAAGCCCCGGAAACATCTCAAGGTAACCAAGGAAACATTAAATAAACATGAAATCATAAAATATAGGAATATTCAATAGATTACAACAACCATAAGTAAAATTTTTAGTTGGGAAAAAATACTGATGTTCGTTGTATAAATAAAAATAATAATTCACCTTAAGTTTATTTTATCTTACAATTATTGTGTTATTGTGAATAAATTCAACAAAGCTGTAACATGATATATTGTATATACTTGCAAAAAAGATACCTGCCTTACATTAAAAAATATTACAGTCCAGTTTCTGATCCTGCATTGCGATTGCGAAATTATGTGAGCCTGTCTCACATAATTCACCAGTGAATTATGAAAAAAGTGAAAAACAAATTCACTAGTGAAAAAATTCGCCCAAACAATGTGTTATGCTTACCACATTTTTCTGGGTTTGAAAATATGGTCAAGGCCTTAAACTTTTTTTTTTTCACTATGGAAAAAATTCGCCCAAAGAATGTGTCATGCTTACCATATTTTTTTCTGGGTTTGAAAATATGGTTAAGGTCTTGAAACATTTTGATATACATGCATTGTTTAGTTACGATAATACTGTTGGTAAACTATTTGTTTCAAACAGCCCTCATTTTGATTATTGTGTCTTTATAAAATACCTTGCAAAGACTGTAATAGGTTCTATGTTAGCCAAACACCCTAAGATTTGAAGTGTTGAATTTCGCAACATAAATACTCTGTATGACGTGGCCAATTGTCTAATGCTATGTTTGTTCATTTGTCAAAAAGTTCTCCCCAAATTGATTGGGAGATGGCTTCTTCAATAACGAATTGAAGTTTGCTATCAACAATATCTTTCAGGACCCCTTCCTCCGTTTTATGAGCCGTCGAAAAGAAGTTCCTGTAAAACAGTCTAATAGGGGGTACAAGTGTTGTGTTGGTTGACTCTTCAGAAGTTGCATGGCATTTCACTTTCTTTTTATGATATCTTCAACTAAACCGTTAGAGAAGCCGTTGTTGACTATGACCTGCCTTACCCTACAGAGTTCTTCATCGACTTCTTTCCATCCTGAGTTGTTGCTGAGAGCATGGTTGACATCACTCCTCTTGTACCTGTCTGGGCAGTAACTATTGGCACTGAGACACATTCATATGTTTGTTTCCTTGATGTAGACTGCAGTGTGGAAGCCTCCGCTCTTTTCCGTGACTGTTACATCCAGAAAGGACAGCTTCCCATTATTCTCCATCTCGTATGTGAAACTCAACATAGAATTCTGCTCAAATACCTCCTTCAGCTGCTGCAGACATCTGGCATCTGGTACCTGTGTAAAAATGTCGTCAACATACCTGCAATATATGGCAGGTCTCAAGTCCATGTCAACTAAGACCCTCTGCTCAATGGTGCCCATGTAGAAGTTCGCAAAAGGGACACGACTTGTCACCTCTCCTGAAGACTTATTATTCCTTATTATCTCCTTATTCTCACGAAGACTCTTAGCTGCCGCTTTGAGCTCGAGAGACAGTATGGTGCTTCTGTAGTTACCTCGAGTCTTTCCTCCTTCTGCAATAAGTTCTGCTTGCAAGGTGTCTATAATCGCAACCACCATTTGCGTCTCGAGGTCGAATATGTCTTCCAATAGGATCTCCAACTCCACTTTCCGGGCCATCTCACTTGGTCTGGACATAACGTGACAGTTTATACCCAGATTTAAGAGAGTGATTAGGTCCTAGGTGAGGTTAATTCCAGCAAGGTCTATGAAGCCATCTCTTGGTCGTGGAATCACCATGGGTCCTCTAAATAATGCCGACAGTTTCTTGATGACGCTGGTTTCGGTGCTGTGGCGATGTCGATCTGTAAGGATGTCGAGGTGTTGATTGATTCGAACACGGAGGTCTTCGTGGATGTCGGTGTTTCTCCATTGGGCTGTACATGAAGTAGCTGCGTTTTGCTGTCGTTGATCTCATTTTTTGCCTTGTGTATCTGATTTCGAATCAGATCTTGGCGTGAAAGCTTGGTTTCTTGCTGCTGTGTCGTGCGTTTTAATATTCGTATATTTTGGTAGCAGTCTTTCTTTAAACATATGTATTTTTTCATATGTTGAAATGAGAGATATGAAAAATATTCAACAGCTTATGTTTAATCTTCTCTCCCACCTTCACCATCTTCACCTCCACCTTCTCCTCATTCCAATAGTCTTAGTGAGGCCTTGTCTTTTATTTAGCAACATTAGACATGAACATGAATTGCCAGTTCATTCATATGGAGGATGAAGGCCCGACCCCAACCCGCCTATGACCAACCCCGGACATGGACCAATCATCCTGCAAAGTTTGATTAAGCTAGTCCAGAGTGCCTGGTCCTCAATCTCGAATATACTAACAAACAGATAAACATTAGATAAGCTAGTTACAGTCGTTGACTGTAGTGATTAATTAATAATCTATATCTTTAAAGTAAAACCTCAGGTTATGTTCCTCAATCTGGAAGCCTGATACTTATTGCAGATCTCACTCAACTTTAGACTTTGATTGATGTGGGTTACATGCCCAATGAAGCTGGGTAGGGGTTGGTGATAATCAAACGAGTAAAAGATGGCATAGTGCCATAGTAAACCTTGTAAACCTGCTGACGATTCTGAGAGTGGCTCGACCTTTAAAACCTTCTAAACAACATAATTAAAACACTCGTTTTTGTAATGCCATATAGCAAAATATTAGTCACTAATGTCTACAAAATGTTAAAACCACCTATTTTAATATGCCCACAAATGTAAAAGATGTGTTTATAATATCAACACCGGGATCCTCTACCACGATACTCTCTCCTCTCCCTTCCAAGCTGATGCTTGGAAGTTGCCATCTGCCAAAATAAGCAGATGGTTACTTACTTAACAAACACGTGTCCGAAACATGTGCCAATGACCTGCTCACTGGTACTGATGTACACAGACGTGTGCTGCATTCTGACATGTGATACACACGTTACATATGATACATACTGATACGTGATACATAATGGCCTAAAGTGATGCATAATGATCCATATGATGTTCTATGAGACACGATACGTTCTAACGCACTTGACATATTGACACGTGATACTGAAACGTGATACATATTGACCTAAGAGATGCATACTGACAAAAGTAATAAAAATGACACGTGGGGGATACAGACACAAGATACTGACAAATTATACATATTGATATGTGAGATATACAGATACATACTCACGGTGATATATAATGTCATATGATTCATACTGACACAAAAGAAACATAGTGATATTCCTGATACGAACTGACATGATGCATGTTGACACATGATACATACTGACACACGTGATGCATTTTGATATACGGGATACCTACTGACCTGTAATTCATACTAACACGTGATACATGCTGACACGTGGTACATATTGGAATATGATACATACTGATATAAATTATACATATTTATATTGTGATACATACTGACTCAGTGTGATACATACTGACTCAGTGTGATACATACTGACTCAGTGTGATACATACTGACACAGTGTGATACATAATGATACGTGCTATAAACTGATGCATGATATATACTTACATGTGACTCATACTGACACAAAACACACTGACAACTGTGATACATTCAAAGTGGGGATACTTACACATAAATGATACATTCTAAGGAACGTAATACATACCGGACACGGGAAACATACTGATACACATGATACGTACTGACACACGTGTTTGGCCGACTTAAGCACCTCGTCGACCTGGGTTCCCAACAACTATATTGTGCTATATTTTGGGTAGACCCGAGCCCCGCCGGTACCCGATCTAGTAACTTGTAAATCAGTTCTCTTAAAGCTAAACATTATATATTAAGACATATAACAGTACTGCTATAAGAGTTACATAAATGACTGATAAAAGGTCATTAGCTTTAGTACATATTTAAAAACAAATATATGTTTTTTAATATGTAATCAACATGAATACATTTTTGTTACATTTGAAGAAAAGTCAGTTGTTGCTGGGAGCGGGCAGGTGGCTGCCTCACCTGGGGACATTGCACTCCTCCTGGGGAGGGTCTGAAGGCAGTATAAAGCTGCCTGCTGGAGGCTGCTCCTCACACAGCTCCTGCCAGCAAGATGAAGTTCCTTCTGATCCTCCTCTTCTTCACCGCCTTCTCATGGTAACACTGAAACTAAATTTCATTTGAAATGAATATCTCATTGCATTATTTTGATAATTAAAATGCATTACAAACGGCGTATTGTTTACGAGCATTAATTAATTGCTTCATGTCGATGTTTATGAGTTTTATTTTAGATCAAATACTGTTAACTTTGTCGATTTGATTGATGGGTGACGTTGATTCTTTCCGTATTAGATGCTTCATCTGGAGAATTTTGCTGAATTTAATGCCTCAGATGCGGAGATTTTTAATGGAATTAATACTTTAGCTGTTGAGGGTTTTTCTAATTTAAATGCTTCAATGTCTTATACTTTTACGGAATATAATGCAATATATGATCACGACCGCCTCTCGTAATTAATTATATCCACTACTTGAATTTAAAACATTATTCGTAGTATTAGGATTTTATTATCATTGACTTTTGCTTTATTTTTTAATACATTTATGTATATTACGTATTAATTATGTATACATATTAATATATTTAATTTTTGAGTATTCTATTTATAATGAATTTTTGAGGGGGCACAAGGGTTAAAGAATTCATTCCATATTAGTTATGCATTTTTTACAAAAGAAATTTTACTACGTATCCTATATTATGTTCAAATACAATTTTTTCATATCAGATTCTAAATCTGCGCTGTAATGTCATTTTTGTAATTGTCTGCTAATGTTTTGGTCTCAATTTTACCCGTTATGTTATTGGTATTTCAGTGAATATTTCATTCATCCATTCTCCACTCTTTGCTTTACTACATTTTTCTCTCGTTATCTTCACGTGAAGACAATTAACGATATTGTCCCAGATAACATTAGTATGTTACATTTGACTACAAACTTGCGTATTTCCATTAAGCGAAGGTTAAGTAACTGACTCCAGTACTTGTTGGCGTCTGGTTCTTAACCAGACGTCAGAAAATAACAACTGATCTAATAAGCTGATTAGCTGTTGCTGTTTTTTTCACGGGCTCAACATAGCCCGTGCTAACTTGGAACTTTTTGTTTCAAGTAGCGAATCTTAAACAACAAAACAGGTTGCTGTTTTTTATCGCGATAGCTTTACTTATGGGATACAGCATTTTGCTTATTTTGAAAATCGAATGTACTTCACGGAAAAAATCGACATAAAACTGAATGACGCACAACATTCTCATATAAGTAACATAATTAATCAACAAAGCATTATAGAGTTTTATCCGACCAACTATGGGGATATTTAATAGAGTAAGATACAGATAACCTGGTTTTGCAACTCTAGGGCCCAGGCGCAAGAGTGCGACTGTGGTGCCTTCGTCAACGGCCGTTTTGGAGAGCTGGAGGTATATCCCTTCGACCCCATACAAGTGCAGAGCTGTGAGGATGTGGAGAGCTGCAGCTCAACCTGTGATGAGGAGGTACGACTCTTTAACTACACTTAAACTGATTTGTCAGGGTCATAATATATATTTTGTTATTTGACTGTTACTTAATATATACATGTTTTATCTCGTGCAGAGATTAGAATTTCCGATCTGTAGACCTAATATAATTAAATTAATTCCTATATATATATATACACATTATATATAAAATTTCATGCACTTGCATCCAAAGCATTACTCAATGCTTCGTTCAACCAAGTTTAAAGTGTATCTTAGTTATTGAAATAAAATAGTTCAAATACTTTCTTAATCAGCTGATTCTATGTTGTTATATTTTCTGTCATTTCCTGAGAGTCATTCACACTCATTCATCAAATAATTCGAATTTTAACACACAATTAAAGTGTCCATCTTATTTGGATGCGATTATGAAACAAGGAGTTTATTGACACAAAAAACCTTATTATTGACACCTCAAATACATATATATATATGTGTTTTCGAAGAGGGAAATAATGATTTTGTGCGGATTTACAGTGGGCCACAATAACAAATAACGGAGACTTGGACACGGTGCTTGAGAACGGCGAGACCCTCGGCCAGGCTTTGTGTGATACCTTGGCCATTGAAGGTCAAGAAGACGTTCCTCCTCACGAATTAAGTCCTGAGAAATTATGAGAAGATTTAAGACAAATATAAAGAGAAAGAGCGATAGAGAGACATTGTGTAAATGAGAGCTGACGAAAATAATATTACAACAATTAACAGTTTTATATTTGTTGTGGAATATAATATAGTTATTGAGTGTTTCAGTTTGTGTGATAATAATATGAAATTTAAATGAGAAATGTTCTTTCTATTGCGTATGTTCACTAAGTAATTCCCATCAACAGGTGTTCCTGTACTACAGGATCTGCGATGGTCCTTGGCAGTACGATGAAGAACAGAGCACAGCACAAGTCTGTTGTACCGCTGGTACCTACCACTCTTGTGATGTTCCACCATAATCTCCTCGTCCCCGTCTTAAGTCAGCCTAACAGCTAAAGAGTCGACCGGAGACAACGCACTGAACATCAGCTTGTAGATAATGTGTTTGTGACATTTCTCAAAAATCCACAACCAATTGTTGTATGACTTTCTACTGCAAAAGTGTTGTTAAACCACTTGCGTGTAATGCAACATTTTAATGAATTAAGTCAGTAGCATCAGTAGCTATGGATATCAACATCATACTAAAAACAAATAATTATTAAAGATTACAAAGTACTAGTTATTTCTTTCATCCACCTTCAAGTTCGTCCCGTTCATATATACTGGGTTTTTTGGAGCTTACAGTCCCCAAGTGGGCATTTGAAGGCATAGACGACGTTAGTCTCTTTTAAAGCGTTCTGTTTTGTGTCTGGAGAGTTTCTCATGAGTAGGCTGGCCGTCCAGACACAAAACAGAACGCTTTAAAAGAGACTAACGTCGTCTATGCCTTCAAATGCCCACTTGGGGACTGTAAGCTCCAAAAAAAAACAGTATATAGGCAAGACAACAACATCTCTTTCTAGGCGTTTAACGATGCATAAGCAACAGGGCTCCATTAAGGAACATATAATCTCTTCCCACAACCAAACCATCGCCAGAGAAATCCTAGTAAACAACACAGAAATCATCGATAGATGCAGCGATAGCAGGCGGCTTGACGTTTGCGAGGCACTACACATCAAGAAGTCAACACCAGCAATCAACAGCCAATTATTGCACAACTATATTCTACCCACCTCAAGACTCCGCTCCAATATAGAAGCATCAAGAAATATGGACCAATAGGCTTTCTACAAACACTTCTATTCAATACCCATTGTTTGTGTTTTGTCTTGTGTTGATACTTCTAATACCCTATTAATATCCCCTCTTGTTCTGTCTTGTGTTAATGCCACATCACCCCTCCCACTTCACTCAAATGTAGATATAAAATCGGAGATACGTAAGTTCTAATCAGTTGTGTATTTGTGAACTAAAGTCTTTGAAAATGTAATAAGTTTTACGAAACGCGCCCGTGTCGCGTCAGACTAGAAATAAAAATGAATTTTGGAGAATTGATTTTTGATTTACTTCCAACAGTGAAGCGTAATGTACGAAAGATTGAGAAAATTCGTGTTAGAATTATTAATCTAACCTTTTCGGTCATATTATAATAATAATATATATATATATATATATATATATATATATATATATATATATATATATATATATATATATATATATATATATATAACAATTAATTCATGAAAACTTGGCTTATTAGGCAAATCGGGGAATTGCATAGTAGGCTGAGAAGTGCGTTCTGGCATATACATATATATATATATATATATATATATATATATATATATATATATATATATATATATATATATATATATATATATATATATATATACATAAGGCCCGATTTGCCTAATAAGCCAAGTTTTCCTGAATTAATATATGTATGAGGTCAATTTTTTTTTATTGGAGTTAAAATTAACGTAGATATATGACCAAACCTAACCAACCTTACCTAACCTAACCTATCTTTATAGGTTAGGTTAGGTAGCCGAAAAAGTTAGGTTAGGTTAGGTTAAGTAGTCGAAAAAACATTAATTCATGAAAAATTAGCTTATTAGGCAAATCGTGCCTTGCATAGTAGGCTCAGAAGTGCGTTCTGGCTACTAGGTACGACATATATATATATCTATATATATATATATATATATATATATATATATATATATATATATATATATATATATATATATATATATATATATATATCTTTACATTTATATATTAGTATATTTTGGTAGCAGTCTTTCCTGTAGACATATATTATTAAATATGACCGAAAAGGTATGATTAGTAATTCTAACACGAATCTTCTCAATATTTTTTATGGTTTTCTTCACTGTCGGTGGTAATAAAAATAACAATTCTCCGAAATTCATTTTTTTAATTGTCTGTCGCCTGAACGCGTTTCGTAATTCGTATTACATTTTCAAAGACTTAATTTATACACACATTCTTCGTACTTATACTCTATTGGATGAGGTGATTTGGTACAAAATTTTTGGATAAGGTGACAAACACAAGACAGAACAGGAAACAATTGGTATAAATTGGATAAGTGAACCTATGAATTGAAGTAATTGCAGAAGGTCTATTGGCCCATACTTCGTCTTGCTGCTTCCATGTTGGTTCGGGGGTCTTGAAGTAGGTATAATATAGTTGTGCATTAATTGGCTGTTGATTACTGGTGTTGACTTTTTGATGTGTAGTGCCTCGCTGATGTCGAGCTGCCTGCTATCGCCATACCTATCGATGATTTCTGTGATGTTTGTTTAATATTTCTCTGGTGATGGTCAGGTTGTGAGAAGAGATTATATGTTCCTTGGTGGCTCTCTGTTGCTTATGCATTGTTAGTCGCGTAGAAAGAGACGTTGTTGTCTTGCCTATATACTTAGTTCTTTGGGGCTTACGGTCCCCAAGTGGGCATTTAAAGCCATAGACGACGTTGGTTTCCTTCAAAGCGTTCTGCTTGATGTCTGGCGAGTTTTTCATAAGTAGATTTGCTTTTTTTTTTTTTTTTTGGTTTTATAATAAATTATCAACTGTATTTTCTGATTGTTGTCTGTAGGGATGACGTTCCTATCAACAATATCTTTCAGGACTCTTTCATCCGTTTTATGAGCCGTCGAAAAGAAGTTCTGTAAAATAGTTTAATTGGGGGGTACAAGTGTTGTGTTGGTTGACTCTTCAGAAGCTGCATGGCGTTTTACCTTTCTTCTTATGATACCCACACCCACATACAGACTGGCTAAGTGACTCAACGGGTTGCTGACTCCTGACGTACCCTGTGCTTTCAGCTTGAAGTCTCCCAAGGAAATTGTCGACTTAATGCGCGGAGCACGGGTCACGGGGATAAGAGCCTCGTTGGATGTGGAGTCTCTATTTAACAACGTACCTATGGACGAGACAATAGGGATGATAGCAGACAGAGTGTATCTTGACATGCCAGAAAAATACTGAGGAAACTACTTCAAGCCTGCACTAAAGAGGCACCCTTCGTGAGCCCAGATGGGCACATGCCCATGCAAGTAGATGGGGTCGCCATGTGTTCTCCACTAGGTGTCCTGTTTGCGAACTTCAACATGAGCTCCATCGAACAGAAGTTCTTAGTTGACATGGGCTTGAAAGCCGCCATATACTGCAGGTATGTTGATGACATTTTTACACAGGTACCTTATGCCAGATGTCTGCACCAGCTGAAGGAGGCATTTGAGCGGAATTTTGTGTTCAGTTTCACGTACGAGATGGAGAACAATGGGAACCTGCCCTTTCTGGATGTAACAGTCACGGAAAGGAGCGGAGGCTTCCATACTGCAGTCTACACCAAAGAAACAAACATAGGAATGTGCCTATTTTTATATATATATATATATATATATATATATATATATATATATATATATATATATATATATATATATATATATATATATATATATATATATATATATATATATATATTCGTTTTGTGAGGAATGGTCAAATAACGTTCCAATTCGAGGAAACCCTGACTTTCCCACAAAGTAACTAGAAACATGTTTCAGTTAAATGAATTACATTTTCTCATGCTGGTTAATTTTTTCCATATGCAGTTTTTCGTTATTTTTTTTTATATTAAATCTTGTAATTAAGTGTTTAGTTTAAATATATTCTTTAATTAACTTTTTGGGACTTACATCTTGTAAGAGTAGGAAACCATACATGTTGTGGTGTTTTCTAGAAGCCATTCACTCTGGTATCTGATTAATATTTTTGTTTTAAATAATATTAGAATGATGATGACTATTCATTAAGGTGTGAGGTTGGTCTGTGACACTTGGCAACAACGACACCATTCTCCTTACTGAACAATGGCGCAAGAAATATACAAATATATATTCTTAACTTAAAGCGAATTCTTATAACTTGGTAAAAAATATGATTTTCAACCGGAAATTCATTATGAGAGTGTTACCATTTCACTTGGTTAAATAAATACTTATACCACAATTTCCTAATTATTTATAACTTTCAAAATAATAATATTACTAAAAGTAATAAAAAGTAAAATAATTTGTCACTCTTCTTGATGACTAACAGGATATAGCAAAAGTTTTAAGAAGATTAGAATGTATCGAGCCCGAGAATGTGACTTATTTTGTACCAGTTCATGTGTAGCGAAAATCAGGCTGAAGAGTTTTTGTATAAGGTATGATAAAGGAAATGGAACTTTATTGTTTGATATTCTAGATGATGACAATTATGGAAACATACGAAAATTCTGAATATTATACCGAATTGTTTAAAAACTTTTGAAATTTTAAAACTATTTGGAAAGATTAAAACAAAATAGATAATTTGAACGGGACGAACTTGAAGGTGGATGAAAGAAATAACTAGTACTTTGTAATCTTTAATAATTATTTGTTTTTAGTATGATGTTGATATCCATAGCTACTGATGCTACTGACTTAATTCATTAAAATGTTGCATTACACGCAAGTGGTTTAACAACACTATTGCAGTAGAAAGTCATACAACAATTGGTTGTGGATTTTTGAGAAATGTCACAAACACATTATCTACAAGCTGATGTTCAGTGCGTTGTCTCCGGTCGACTCTTTAGCTGTTAGGCTGACTTAAAACCGGGACGAGGAGATTATGGTGGAACATCACAAGAGTGGTAGGTACCAGCGGTACAACAGACTTGTGCTGTGCTCTGTTCTTCATCGAACTGCCAAGGACCATCGCAGATCCTGTAGTACAGGAACACCTGTTGACGGGAATTACTTAGTGAACATACGCAATAGAAAGAACATTTCTCATCTAAATTACATATTATTATCACAAACTGAAACACTCAATAACTATATTATATTCCACAACAAATATAAAACTGTTAATTGTTGTAATATTATTTTCGTCAGCTCTCATTTACGCAATGTCTCTTTATCCCTCTTTCTCTTTATATTTGTCTTAAATCTTCTCATAATTTCTCAGGACTTACTTCGTGAGGAGGAACGTCTTCTTGACCTTCACTGGCCAAGGTATCACACAAAGCCTGGCCGAGGGTCTCGCCGTTCTCAAGCACCGTGTCCAAGTCTCCGTTATTTGTTATTGTGGCCCACTGTAAATCCGCACAAAATCATTATTTCCCTCTTCGAAAACACATATATATATGTATTTGAGGT